CAAAATCACAGCCTGATTAGGTTGATCTTAACAGTGGTCTAGAAGAAGATGCTAATCACATGATTAAAGAAGTCTATCCAGCCGCCAAATTGTCTTGTCTCTACTCTGAAGATTGGTGTAACCTGCAGAAAGAGCAAGCAGAGAGGTGAAAAGCAATCCGGTTTAGTCAATTCAGAGCAGTAAAATAGCTACTCCTATAGGTTGATAAATTGGCAGTAGCTTTTAGCAGAGGAATTACTTTCTGATTAGACCAATCAATCCAGAGGATAAGAATAAGGCATGTATACAGTATACTTCATCCAGGCCAGACGGTCGGCCTCTGCTGCTCGCTTCTTCAGCTTTCCTGACGTAGTGACGTTGATCCTTGGGACGAAAGCAGAGACGACCAAGAAGGAGGGGACAGATAGAAAAGGGTCCAGGAGAGCGTGTCTTGATGTCAACACATCGGGTGGCTAAAATGGCAAGCGAATCGGGCAGGTGAAAACGATTTCAGATGGCGGCAGCGAAACGAGTGGCAGCAGGGTTAAATTGATTGATTCGTCTTTTTTTTTTTTTTTTGCCTTGCCGAGGTTAGTGACGTGCCTTGGAAGGCTCTGCTTGTGTGCCGACTATTGTAGGCTGGTAAAAAGCAAAAGTATCAGCAAAAATTTGTTCCAAGGTTTTATTCGTACGTACTGCTCTCATCCAAACTACAGTCACCCTGTCAAAGAAAACCTACCAATCGCAGGCAGCTAAACAAGTTTTCTTAGCTATCTCATCCAAACAGGTCCTGCAACATGCCAATTCTTTTCTTTTCAGTTTTTCAGATTTCTGAAACCAAACATGTCAATCCTCCACCCTTCCTTCCTTGCTTTCATCATGTGCTCGCCACTAAATTCTTGTTGTCTTTCAACGTGCATATCAGCATGCGCTCTGTTCTCTTCTCTTCTCTGACAGTGCTCTAGTCTCTACCCTTTCAGCTACAAAGGGGGGAAAATGGAGGACTAGCAGAGATGACGCAGGCGGCGATGCTAATGGAGCATGCGCCCTTTAAGTTGTAGGGGTCCCTTGGTGCACTAGCTACAGTAGCAGTATCAACTGCTCTACGCTTAGGACAAAGGGCAAATGGTTCGTCTGTATTTATGGAGCGCTGCTGCATTGTCAAAGCAAGATATCTTGCGCATAACACTACTGCCACAGAGAACCGAGCGGGGGCTCGGTTGGTCAGCTGAGCAGGGGCTCAGCCTGCGCTCCCGCGCGGCGCCGCCTCACCTTTTTCTTAAGAGTATCTCGGAGACTCCGCCGTGTTTAAAAAAAAAACACTACTACCACAGTGCGGAAATGACAAGATCTATGTGTAGCTGCTAAAATGACTTGTTCTTGTGTGCACCGTACCTATGGGCTATGGCATTATTTGTTCTAGGGCGGAGTTAAAACTGGCTACCAAAGGTGGTGCTAGCTAACATGTAGGGCAGGGACTACCGTCCTACCGAGCCACGTGTGTTGACAAAGCAATGCAATAGTCTCCTAGACCTTGAGCATGACACTCTGTTTTCTAAACTTCAGTGTTCCCAGCTACATCATGGTTGCCTGGTTGCATTGTATTTGTATCGTAGAGTAAGGGCCCATTTGGTGCTGCTCTGGGTGCTCCAAGTCCGTCTTCCAAAGTCAGGACCATGTCTAAAATTTTAAAGGCCCTTGGACAAGCAAAAAGTCGTGAGGACCTATTAAACTAATTTTGAATATGACGATTAAAATATATCATATGAAAAAAATAACTTGCAACATATGTTTAGTTAAACATAACGATAGTACATAAAGAACTAAAAGAAAACTAAAATAACTATTATGATTATCTCAATTAAAAGATACCGACCGGACGACTAGTTGAGGCGTCATGCGTTGGGTCGGGCGTGGGACGAGACCACGAGAAAGGCAAACGATTGATAATAGGCTTTCATCACTTAATTATAATAGCTATATACATATCTACTTACTATATACATAATATATTTTCATGGGCCTCTGGTGGCTTGGGTTGCTGCCCTCCCCCTAGAGACGGCCCTGTCCAAAGTATTGTGCGTCACTATTCTTTTATTGTAGGCTACCATAGTGGCGAGAAGAATAGCTCCAGCTCCTCAAAAAAAATTGAACTAGAAAGAGGAGGAGTTAGATGAGCCAGAGCCCAGAGAAGCCCCTTCAAATGCGCGCTATTGGAAACCTACGCTACCCACAAATTTCGTGCCAGAAACATGCATGGGGAGTGTGCGAGGATATTCTGATTCCACATCACCTCCGTTGTCGATCAAATCCCAACGCCTCAAGCCCTCATCAATGCCGTACAAACTGGGCACTTTGCATCACCATCACCTGTAGGCTGTAGTGATCTCTACGACTCTACCATGACCCAACTGGAACTGGATTGCTTCGTGCCTTGGTGTCTCATGCAATTCCGCAGCTTCTGTCCTGTCGCTGTAGCGGTGTAGCCTGTACCTGTGAAAGGGGTTGGCACCGGCTTATGACTCAGGCTACCCTGTCGTTGTACGTAGCTACAATAGCGCAGCCGCCCATGTGACGGTGACGCTGACCGGTGGGCCCGGTGCTGAGCCAATCAAACAGATGCTAGACGATAAGAAGCTCCTGTGCTACCCTACCTACGTACACGTACGCCTCCATGGTCCATACGTACTGTACATACAAGGCTTGCAGTTGGTGTGGGTACGTGACGACTGATGAAGGGAACGAAGGAGATCGATCGATGTATGGCCATGGACGAGAGTTGAGTGAAGGAGACTCCAGTCCACAGTGAGGCAGTGATGATGGGAGTGATGAGCAGTGCGTACCGAACTTGTACACGTATACGCCTTGCTTATCCATCCGTTGAGCAAATTGGGGTGATGGGCGCGCAACGTCTGGTGCTGGTGCTGGTGCTGGTGCTGGTGCTGCTCGGTATATATGTATATCCGTATCCGTATGCCATGCCATGCCATGCCATGCGCCCATGCAGATCGGTGGTGACATGACATATTCACAAACACACATCATTGGCTGCTTTCGGTCAGTGACGAACGAGGAACGGACATGTATTCGTGTTCACGCCTCCACCTTGACCTTCTGCTGCCTGCCCTGCCTGCTTGCTGCCGCCGCTTGTGTGGATGAAGGTTTTGATCATGCATTTGGGAAGAATAGATTGAGACCTGAGAGAAACATGGCTCTGTGTAATCATCAGTTTGACATAAACAGGTATACCTTCAGCGGAATTAATCAGGGCAAATACATATACGGAGTAATAATTGACTAGAGAAAGGGTGACGGACGTTTCATGCTGCAGAGAGTGCAGACACCATCAGCCCCAGGTTAGCCCACCCGACCTGATGGGCCTTGTTAATAGTTAAATTCAGGTCCAGTATTATATATGCTAATCTCGCCCCCAGCAGTTCGGCCCAAGGCAGATCCAAGCACATCCCAAGCCTGGCCCAAACTTTCAATTTGGTGAATGTCACCATTCACACTAGACGGCAGCGTTTACAGTGTAAAAATATTCTCTAAAAGCCAGGCCGTTTTATGTGAAAAAACCCTCCCAAATGGGACCTAGAAGGTTTATATATATATATGCTTTATTTAAGAAAAAAGAATCATCCGTAGCAGACTTTTGAGAATAAACATGCGATAGAGATTGATTTTCTAGCTCTGCTCCTCGATTGACGAAGCTCCACTCCTAGATTCTCTGGCTTTTCTCCTTGATTATCTAGTGGAGTGATTCTACTTGGTTATAGTGGGGGGAGTAGGGTGGACAGCAGGTGAGAATTGATTCTAGAGTGATTCTTGTGGGTTTTGAACATAGAGTAGTGGAGGGCAGGGTTTTTTTAGCTCCCACATTCCAGTGTAAATGGAGGGGTAATTCTTGCCTAGCTTCCACCTGAATCTATGTGAGATTTAGCTATTTGGTGGAGGAGGAGCGATTCTCATAGAGAATCAATTCCAAAGAGTCCTCCCAAACAGCCCCTAACATTGGATACTGATTACATGTTTTTTTTTAAAAAAAAAACATAAGTCAAGTTTTTCTCCGTGGAAGTTGGCAGGAGTTTTGCTGATTTTTTTATTAATACATAATAGGATAAAACAAAAGACATGACATACTTTACAGAGAAAGATGCCGTCATTCTGGGTCTCCAACTTTGAGTTTCTAAGCTAGTATGACTGTCACTCTGGTTTCGAACTCCTGATATTTATGTCCGGGCCCTAAACTTATACATTGGTACCATCCAGATCACTGAACTTGCCCGTTAACACACAATTAGCATGCCACGTTATGCAACTTTTCAGAACCCTAGATGACACCGCTATATATACAAGCTTAGGGATCCAAATATCAAAATTTAAGAATCTAGGATCCAAATGATCGATACCGCAATACAAGTTTGAGGACTCAAATTATTAAAAAAAACCAAGAGTTAGAACACAGATGCCACAAGCGTTGCAGTTTTTTTTTTTTTTTTGAGACGGCAGAAGCGTTGGAGTTTAGGACTAGCAATAAATATTACTCAATACTGACATCCATACCACCACTCCAGAAGCAAGGAGAACAACCCAAGATAAATGGATCAGGTCCAAGAATTATATTATAATATAGGATAGGTAACTGAGCACTCTTGCAGTAGTAAAACGAAAAAAAAAAAAAGAGAATCGAAAAGAAAAGCTAGAAAGGACGCGACAAGAGAGCTCGACTGAGTACAATGACAAGAAGTCCAGAACGCCCCTCTCTGGCGACTTCTCTTCTACCCTCTTCTACCAGGTTCAGGATCAGGTGAGTAAGAAGATTCTGCGAATATATTATTTTGTAAAAGCAAATGCCTCCAGCAAATACTTGCTCCTTAATTACACATCTCTGATATCTCTGCTTATATCAGAGAATAAATAACATCAGTGCTTCCCAATTGCCTCTGCCACTTGGAATCAGTTACGGGTCACTGAAACAGTGAGAGCAGGGGAGCTGACAGCAGGCTGCAGGAGCAGCAGCCATGAGCACCATGAGGTTCTGCCGTGAATGGTGAGCTGGTGGTCGATTGATCGGTATATGCTCATCCAGTTTCTTGAGTACTCTACTTTGATTCATGAACAGAGTCGTTCTGTTTCTTTGATGCAATGCAATGCAATGCAGCAACAGCATACTGTATCCCAAGGAGGACAGGCAGAACAAGGTGCTTCTCTACGCCTGCAGGAACTGCGAGCATCAGGAGGTGGCGGACAGCAACTGCGTGTACCGGAACGTGGTGGACCACGCCGCCGGCGAGCTCACGCAGGTGCTGTTCGAGGACGTGGCCTCCGACCCGACGCTGCCGCGCACCAAGTCCGTCCGCTGCGCCGCCTGCGGCCACGGCGAGGCCGTCTTCTTCCAGATCTGCAGGGTCATGGGCTCATGCATGGATGTCAGTTTTATTGATTAATTAATCTTCAGTGATCGGTTCGGTGGCCTCGAACAACATGAGTGCTGTGTGCTGTGTGCTGATGCATGGGCGGTGAACGGTGCAGGCGACGACGAGAGGCGAGGACGGCATGACGCTCTTCTTCGTCTGCTGCAACCCCAGCTGCGGCCACCGATGGAAGGGCTGACCTCATCTGCTGGCGTGCAACGCTATCTGCCAGGATTTATTTGCACATGACAAACTACTATAGGCCATGTTCGCTTATCTTATAATCTATCTTTTTTAGCTTATTTTTTTAGTCGGAACAGTGATTTTTTCTACCAACAAATCAGCCGGAATAATGTTTCGACTCGTTTTTTCATGGAAGCGAACGGGCCAATAGTTGTTATGCTTGTATCATAGCTACCATACTGGGGTATAGCGGGTTTAAGGCATTCTCTTATTATTTATATGGCTAAATACACAATGATGGGCACGTCGTCATGCATTTGGGTGAATGTGTGCCGCCGTTTCTCGTCTCTACTAATATATTAGGTTGTCCAATGATGTAATGTATTAAGTCTGAAAATATTTATGCAACAGTTTGGAACTTTCTCAAGCTGCACTGCTAATGGACGGGGGAGCCATTTTGGCTCTTTGGAACTCTAATCTAATAAAATAAAAAATAATGCCGTGCGGACCATGTTTATGTTGGATTAATTGGGTTTTGTCCTATTTAGTCTACTAATTAATCAAAGAATTTCAAAGGCACATAATTAGTACTAAGTGGGAGGAGATTAGTATCTATTGAGAAACCCAATAGTAAAGTGCTTAATTTCAATAGGAAGCTAGTGTGTGTTTCTATAGGCAAGTTGAGAAGGGAAGTTTTGGGGAGCCACACGCGCGGCACGCGCCCTTGGCCTTGGCCATGGCCATATGACGGGATGCGATGTCATGGGCCACCTTTTGTGACTTAAGGCTCCATTCGCTTGGCTAATAAGCCATATCTGAAAGTACTATTGGCTGATTTGTTGTAAGAGAAAAATAATGTTCGTTCACTGAAAAAGTACGGATTATAACACAAACAAACATGCTAGTGCAATGGACAAATGGTCAAGGCAACCGTCAACAAGGCTGTAAGGGCACAAGATGTAAATGCGTGGGTCTAGAAGGTCAAATAGGCAAAATGTGTGGGACTAACACCGGTAGAAATCTAGGTGCCAGCTTACCTTTTTACCTCCTTTGAATCCGTCTAGGCTCATCCCCCATGGGTGTGTTTGGTTCCATGGATATCCATGGATGGGATATGGATATCTATGAATACATGGTGTTTGGTTAGATGGATAAGCTGAATCTGGATATCCATAATAAAAAATATTCTGAGTAGATACTGGATATCGTGGCCCTAAAAAATATGGCGGATGAGGATATCCACATGTTGATTAGCGCATATTTTGTGTAACAATTAGAGTATTATAGTGCTAATTAACATATTTTATTTTTAATTAGTGATTATAATGATAAAATTAGTGTCGGTGCATATTTATTAATGTACAAATAGTTGGTATTGTTTTTAAATTATAAATATAATTAGTCAAGTATTCTCGTCCCATCCAATCTCATTCATTCAACCAAACTGACAACACGGACATCCATATCTCAAAATCCATGGATGGTCATTATCCCATCCACATTTGTTCTCGAACCAAACACACCCCATGTGTATAGAGGCTGTTTAAGGGTTGTCTCTTCTTGCTATAGAACTGGCAATCATCATCGGCCATAATTGTCGGTTTCTAATGAGTCGACTGTGATAATCCTTCACTGTCGGGTCATTCATTACCTGAAAATTCAAAAAATGATGAGGGTTGGCATCATAGAAATTTGTTTTGTAACGGGCTGACAATGATAACCCTTCACTATTGGATCATTAATTAGCTCAAAATTCAAAAAGTGATGGGGTCAGTATCCTAGAAATTTTAGGACAAATCATTGCATAAACCAAATACCTCGTGTAGCCCTCACTTAACTATGAAAAAATCTCGTGCTTACTATATTTTAAATGGTTGACACTTATGGTAGTTATATGTATGATTGGTATTTTTAAAAAAAATATTCACCTAAATATTTTATATTTTAAATAAATTATAATAAATATTTAAATATCTCAATTTTAGGATGGAATCCTCGTTATCAGAAAGACAGGCAACATATCAGGTGCAAACCAATCAACCTGTACAAACTTAGAAACTACCAATCAGGATCACTATATGCTGATCCAATGGATGAGGTGAGGAAACTTAAGCGCAAAAAAAGGGTCGACGGGTGGGGGGCTTAAGCGTAAAAAAATCCCACCTCTCACTCTATCCATTGGATCAGCATCCAGTGGTCCTAATTTATAGTTTCTAAGTTTATACAGATCGATCGGTTGGTTTGCATTATATGTTATCAGGCAGAAATGAAAACCAAGGGGCACCACCACTGGTTGTACTGTCCAGATAGTCCAATGTCCAAGTGTGCAACTAGTCAGATTCAATCAAAAAAAAAAAAGTGTCCAACTAGTCAAACGGAGGTTTGCCTGCAGCAGCACACCTGTAAACAGCGAACCTTGGGGTTTTCTCCGCCGACCAGGGAAGCGGCGATTCGTGCCGCGCAGGGGAAACCGACCCTGCCTCGTGTCCGCGTCGGCGATGGCCGCCGCCGAGACGGCGACGGTCTTCATGGAGACGAGCCTCGGCACCCGCCTCGTCCTCTCCTTCCCCGCCCGCGCCACCACCGTCGCCGACCTCAAGCGTGCGTGCCTCTCCATCTTCCTCCCCTTTCTCCTCACTCTCCCCATCTAGAGAAAAAAATCCGCCTTTTTCCCCTCGCTTCTTGTTTATGGCGATTCTGTTGCAAATCGATCCCTTTACCTCTGCATTCCTCCTGATTTGTGCGGCATCGCTGGGGGGAAAAAAAACACGAACTGACACCCTGAACCCCAAATTGAACCCGCAGGCCAAGTGAGCGCGGAGCATGCCGCGTGTTTCCCCCGCACCGGGCCAATCGCCGTCTCATCCTTGCAGGTATGGTGCCGGAATAACAATGCGGGTGTCAAAAGATTAATCTTTAGCCGCTAATTTCGTTTTGGTTGCCCCGTTGTGGAAAATTTCGTTTCTTTTGGCTTCATCTGTTGGCACTGTTTCATTTCGCAGATTGAGCTGGATGGTTCCTGGTTTCAGCTCACTGATTCCGTGGTCGTGGAAGCTGCTTTCGAGTGGGTCAAAGGGCCAAGGCGCCTCCTGGTTGAGGCTCACGAGCTTCGTCCTCATCCACCTGCTTGCAAGGATACCAAGTGTGGAACTGCTGATGCTGAACCAAATGCGGGCCATTCAGTCGTCGCTGAGGACTCCTTGCAGTACATGTTACCTCCTGCAGAGGCACCAGGAGGTGGCAATCATGCCTCAGGCAATGGCGTCAGTGACATCCGACAGCTGAAGAACCAGCAGGATAAAGTTGTTGAGCATGCTTTATGTCAGCACGAAGATGGAATTACTATGCCTCAAGAAAGTTCAGATATTGATTTAGCCATTGGCGACAGCGGCACTGGCACCCCACTGGCAAACCAGGAGGACAAGCCTCAGGAATGTCTTGAGCATGTCTCTCGCCAACTCGAAGATGGAATTGGCATGTCTCAAGAAAGTTCACATTGTGATTTAGCCACAGGTGACAGTGACACCTCACTGACAAACCAAGAGAACAAACTTCAGGGATGTGTTGAGCATGCCTCTGTTCAGCTCGAAGATGGAATCACCATGCCCCAAGAAAGTTCACATTTTGATTTAGCCACAGGCACCAATAACACCCCACTGCCAAACCAGGAGGACAAACTTCAGGGATGTGCTGAGCATGCCTCTGTTCAGCTCGAAGATGGAACAACCATGCCTCAAGAAAGTTCACATTTTGATTTAACAACAGGCACCAATAACAGCCCTCTGCCAAACCAGGAGGGCAAACTTCAGGGATGTGCTGAACATGCTTCTGTTCAGCTCGAAGATGGAATCACCATGCCTCAGGAAAGTTCACATTTTGATTTAGCAACAGGCACCAATAACAGCCCACTGCCAAACCAGGAGGACAAACTTCAGGGATGTGCTGAGCATGCTTCTGGTCACCTTGAAGATGGAATCACCATGCCTCAGGAAGGTTCAGATTCTGATTTAGCAGCAGGAGGTAGTGACACTCTACCAATGGACCAACATGACAAATTTCATGATGGCGCTGAGCATGCTTCAGCTCACAGTGAAGGTAGAACTACCATGCCCCAAGAAAGTTCAGATCTTGGTGTAGCAGAAGACAAAGGGAATGATCGTGCTGGGGATCAACAAAAAGACATCATCATGGAGCCAAGAGGGAAGAAACGGTTTAGGGAGGAAGATGAAGCTGACAGAAACATCGATGTGAACTGTGATGACAATCTTTCCCATTTTGTTAGCCCCACACCTAAGTTTGTGTCTGAGAAAAAGAGCAGTATGATTGAGCAAGCAAAATTGGACAGTGCCCCCTTGCTGTATAATTTGGATGATTCCTCACATGGTTTATTGGTAAAACCCTCTGGTGGCCAGAAGGAACAATGGACATCTGGTGTGTGCAGTGAAGGAAGCATCAACAATAGACCAGCTATTCCACCTTGTGCTGAGTCCATGGGAAAAGATAAGTGTTCAGACAAAGAAGTGATGACACAGATAGGTGACAAGGAGGAACCTCAGATAGCTGGGTGCACAGGTAAAAGCAGCTGCAAAAGAACCACATTATGTTGACTCCATGAATGAAGGCAATAAGAGGCCAGCTTCCAATGTCCATTTTCTCAACAAAGGGGAAAGTGAAAGGGCCACATCATCTGTGACCAAAGAACATGAGCCTTGTTTCAGAAGAAGGCACCACCGGGTTGCTGTGCGTAAAGTGTCTATGAGCAGGGCAATGAAGGTATATCCTTTCAGGTAAATATGCTCTTTCTCGAGATACCATGTGCTTATGGCTATACACCAAGTGTTTACCACTGTATATCGGTAGAATCTCTTTTGTTTCTGCCCTGTAAATGATCTTAAAAGGTAGCAAAATATTTTTCAAATTCTTGTACTTTATCGTTCAGCTTGCAGCAAGAGTAATTCGGTTTAGGCGTCTTACTCTCATCTGGGAGTCCTAGAATGCTTCAAATTATCATGCGCTGGCTTATAATTTTATGTTTGATATAGGTGTCCTGATCATGTTTTGATAGCCCTATCCAGACTCAGTGGTTTGAAGCTTAGTTCCAGGTGGAGTAACTAATTTGATAAAGGGACAGGGCATGCTATATGTGATAAAATTACCTTTTGAACTTTGAAGTAAAACTATGCAAGATTTCTTTGTTAAACTTGCACAAAAAGCTGGAATGAGGCAACAAGGATGGTATATTGGTGTGGTGAGGAATTCATTGAATTCTTAGCTAATGTGTTGTGGAAAGAGAGATGTTAGTTTAGTGATGTTATCTAGTTGGTTAGTGTTAGGAAAAGTTTAGTCTTAGACTCCTAGTCTGTTGCCTATTTCCTAGTTTCTTAATTTACCTAGATGATATAAATGTACCCTAGTCTTTGTTTAGGGATCAAGAAAAATTAGATCAAAGTTCTCTAAAGGATCAGCACTGTCTGAGCCTCCTGCCACAGGGACAAACCTGTTAGTGACAAAGGTGACTGTCAGAATTATCTTCGACCAATCCACCAATACTGATCTGCTATGTAATAAATTTGTGTGCAATATTGCAATAAGAACCTTAATCAATTTTTTTCTGCTAAATTTGGGTATAGGGTATGGCTAGTTTGGGAACAAACCTCTTGAAAATATTTGGAAATTTAGAGAAGTGAATATGCCATGTAAACCTCTTCTGTGTTGGGAAGCAAGGTTTACATGTATATTAGCATTATCCTTTTGCAAATTAAAGGATCCTTTTTATCCCAAAACATTAGTATTAATACTAAACAAATTCTGATTATTTGGCTGTTAGTTCGAATTATGCTTATCAGGAGTGGGCCACCAAATGCAATAAATAGGGGGTCCAGAAATTATACAGGCAAGAGATGGCAGTCAAGTTTAGCTTGTGTGTTGCTAACAAAGGGGATCCTATTGGATAAAAAACAGTCATAGATTGAACAGAACCTTAAAGTAGCAGTTAAAATCTGTTTTGCTTCTGTGAATCCTTCTACTATTTGTAACTGCTAGTGATAATTTTTTAGAAAATACTGCTTCACCTATAATGTGAACATCCCCCAAGAGGGAGGTGTTGTCCCCCAAGAGGGAGGTGTTGTTGGACAAGTATCTGTTATGAAAAGCTGATGAAATAGGTCAAGCTGCCAGAGCAGGAGCAGCCTAACAAAAAATTTTCAAGATTGGGAGGCTGTTTGCAGTCTTAAACACTGGTGAACTTGCTAGGAGTTTGTCATGTCGGTGAGGAAGTGACCGGACTGGGCAGCTACAGGTGGTCTCTGGCCAGTGGCCACTCCTTGGCTGGTTTCCTATCTGTGGTGGTGGTAACAACACGAGTGTGGAAGTGTACATAAAGCTGGAAATGGTAAACAGGGAATGGTACGGCGAGGCATTCATTGAAGTCTTCGCTAATGTGTGTGTAGTAGGGTAATGAAACCTTAACAGAATTATTATTGCCAAATTTCAGTATGGCTAGTTTGGGCACAAAACAACCTAATAAGACCCTTGAGAACACTTGGAAACCGCTGGATAAGTAAGCAAAACTGCATTGGTAATAAACATAGATAATTGTGTCAGGAAGGTTTACATGTACACTAGCATTATCCTTTTCCAACTAAAAAAAATCAGAAGGGCTTTGATGAGGATTGTTTTTTTTTTCTTTTTTGGGATCAAGTGCTTGAGGTGGTTCTGAATTTTGTGAAGGTGTTATATTGGAAATGGGAGTCGATCCTCTTGCATTGTCAATTGTCATTTCTAAATCTCTCAGCATGTTTCAGTACCCCTGTGATCAAAGTGGATGACTACTTTAAGGAATCAGGATCTAGAACTAGTTTCAGTAGCTCTTTTGAGGTTCAGGAACCGGAGGAACCGGATCAGCTTCTTGACATTATTTATTTGTTGGACCTTTGTTTTGTTTCCAAGTTTCAGAAATATTTAATGAGTTTTCTTGTTTCTACAGGTTTTAGTTTGATCTCACATGGACGATGTGTACAAGAACATGTTGCTGAGAAAGCTGTAGAACAGACAGAGAATGGGAAATGCTTTTGGGTACAACTTAAGTAGAACCATTCATCTAAACCCTCCATCGAGAATGGGAAATGCTTTTGGGTACAACTTAAGTAGAACCATTCATCTAAACCCTCCATCGAATTTCTGAGCTTTTCATCCAAGTGACTTTTAACTGTTGGATCCGGAGTTGTACTGAAGTTGGGTGTACATGAAAAACGAAGGCCCGAGTAACTAAATAGTATCTAGCTCTCCAGTAGTTTGTCTGTAGAGTTAACTCATGACCCAGTGATGTGGGTCTTAAGGTTATCTAACGTACAATTGCAGTTCTGAATGAACCTCTTACTATGGTCATTCGAGTCCGGCCATTACATATGTATTTAGGATGGCATCGTGGCTGACTTATGGAGCTTGATGCAATCTAGACAGCCCATATTTTGTTGGAATGCACTCATCAGCATCTCGCTCTTCACAAAGCTATGTACATAGAAAAACCAAAATGACTTATAATTTGAGACAGAGGGGTGGTATTTGGTATCTCTCTGTTTTACACACAACACATAAGCTCTTGCAAAGAAACTTGCAGCGCTGCTGACGCTAGTGTTTATATGCCGTAAAAGCTGAAGAAGGCTACTGCAGTTTGCAGGCATCGGCTATTTTTCAGTCTTTACCATTGATTATTTTCATGCCCTGTTCGCTTGGCTAATAAGCCATGGCTGAAAGTACTGTTGGCTGATTTGTTGTGAGAGAAAAATATTATTCATTGGTTGAAAAAGTACGGCTTATAAGCCAAGCGAACAGGACGTATCCTGTGTGTTCTATCCTGCGTGTTGCTCACATTTTCTGGGGATTACCTAGACTCACATGTCACCTATTATTTGGTTTTCTAGGGAATTTACTTTCTTTCTTGGAAAAAAAATCCAAGTAAATATGCACGTCATAAGGTCACAAATCAATCGGTACCAAATTTCAATTTGTATTTTTTTCCTGCAGTCCGACAACGGCTCATTAGTTGTTAGATAAGGCTCAACTACCTAAGCCAGTCTCTGCTAAAAAAAACCTTCTTAAGCCAGTCAATATGTGGAGTTAAGCCCAGAGAACAGAGGCCAACCTACACGCCAAAGCCCAAGGCTCGCTTTTACCCGTGTCAAAGAAAAAAAATATTTCCTTTAAGATTATTTTCTTCTCTCTTATTCCCTGCCCCCCCTTAATCTAACGTGAATTTCCAGCATTTATATTTGTGCATACAAACTGAAAAATAAAAAAAATGCAAATAAGACGAACGACTTAAATTACAAAACAAATGAGACCTACAAATTAGAGATAAAATGTCTACTATAGCATTTGGAAGGGAAAAAAATAAAACGGGATAGGAAAGATGGAAAAGATGAAAAATGAAAAGAAAGAAATAGGAGAAAAAAACGACAATGTTACAACTGGGCCAGAATGCGTGCACTGCCAGTCTGTCACCACATGCTTCTTCTTCACACGGGGGCAACTAGGCCGAGGCAAAGCTATACCAATGTTCAGGCGAAGGAAAGAAAGCATGGGCCTTGCGCAACTAGGCCAGCCTTCAGGTAACATGCGTCCGGTCCGAATCAGACTGCAAAGCCCATCCTAGGACGCTGTTAGGGACAGATGGAGGATGGCTTTATTACTGTTTGATTGAATCTAGCTTGCTCAAAAAAAAAAAAAAACTGTTTGAACCTAGCCCGTTTGAATCTTTGGATTCTAACTTGAGATTTTAGCTGGTCGAAGGATTCTATTGCCCATATTACCCTCCACATTCTGACCAACTATTAGGTCAGTTTATATAAGATATTATCTTTATGTCCGTGCGTTGTCCGGCCCGCACCGCCACTCAGCTCGTTGTTGCCAAGCACTAGCCTAGACCTGAGCATTTTATAGGTTGTGTTTGGTTCGGGCTGGGCTGAAAAAAGCCTGGTTGTTTCGGGCAAATAAAAATATTCCACCCCATGACTGTTCTATTAGGCGAGTCGGGCTTGATTTATCATTTTTTTTAATTGTCGGGCTGGATTTTTCAGGTCGGGCTCAGACTGGGCCTAGGATTGGGCAGACCACCCGCACCGTGAGCAGTGTAAAATAGTTAAAATAAATATTACTGACCGGGCTTGGACCGAGAAAAAAATTTCTAGGTAACGAGTCTGTGGCTAGGCCCTGTCCACTAAAACTCATGGGTGGGCCAAAATCTAGTGGGCTTGGGCCGGATCAGGCTCAATTCGCTTAGGTCTACACTAGCCACCCGTGTCCTTGCTCGCGTGAGTACAAGCCCCCCCCTGCAGTCGCCGCTCGTAGGCCCTGCGCGCTGCTGGCCCTAGCCGCCGGCCACTCGGCCTCGCACCCCGACCAGGCCACTCGCCGCAGGCCATGTCCGATTCACTCCCCATTGGCCGCGCGAGAGCCGCTCACTGCTGGTGCTGGCCGCCAACAGAGCTCGCCCGCCAGTGCTTTATCTAAGGTGGGAAAGGACTAGGAGAAGATAGATAGCCCATGGAAGAGCGAACGAGGGATGAATGATTGACTGATTTTTATCCGAGCACACTTATACAAACGTTGCATTGGGATGCATAGTTTCTTCACGTAATGTTTTTATGATATAGAAACTGTACTATATGGTTTCTGCATTAGACTACCCTAAGAAAGACGCAATGACGACACCACAGAGATCAATACCGGCCAGCACATATTATTGTTGTTCAATGAAAGATCAGATACATGTAGGAGTATGTATGTATCTCCTCTAAAGCTTCTTATCACGCACATGCATGCAAGCCCTCCATGAGCAATAGCATGAGTATGCTTACACTGTGACCTGCTATCATCAGGGAAAACACGGTTTAGTACCTTATCGCACATGCATGCATATTACAAGTTGCAGCACAAATATATATACATGCATTAACTATATGTATTTTTTTTTTACCGGATCAAATGCCGGGGTAGGACCAAGCGGTGGGCACTTTGTTTGAAGGTCTCGGATCTTGGATTCGTCGTATTTCTGCTTCTCTTTGTCTGTAAGAAGACTGACGATGCAGTCCAACCATTTTTTATCGGTTGCTGCCTGCTTCTCTAATGCCATCCGACAGCAGGCCTCAAGGATCCAACCAGGTGGTGCCCCCTTCTTGATGACTATGGCACAGACAAGAATGAGGCGGTCCTTCTCCTGCGGGGTACACACACTACCACTCACAGAACCGAGACAAACTGCCGCAGCCACGACCAGGAGGAGCAATGCTGCTTTCCCAGCTGTCATCTTGGTGCTTCTCTAGCTAGTTGAATGAACTAGCAAAGCCAAAGCAAGCTTGATGTTCTATAAACTTGAGTATGTGTGTCATGTGTGCTTCTCTATATGTATATGTAGGAATGAGACTTCAATGTAATGCATGCTAGGGATGATCACTACCGGAAAGAGCATCTTTGCCGAGGGCCTGAGGATTTGCCGAGGGAAAATGCTCGGGCACTCGGCAAAGAGTCTTTGCCGAGGGCCAGACCCTCGGCAAAGACAAGCACACGGCAACAATAATTCTTTGCCGAGGGCTAATCCCTCGGCAAAGAGCCATCCCCTGCCGTCAATCTTTGCCGAGGGCATCACCGTTAGGCCCTCGGCAAAGCTTTTTAACCGTTTTTGAAAATTTTCTTTTAAAAAATTCTTTGCCGAGTACCTCTGGCCCAGCACTCGGCAAAGACAGTCTTTGCCGAGTGCCAAGCTGGCACTCGACAAATTTTCAATTTTTTTTTTGTTTTTTGACCCCAAATTTTTTGTTGGGCCTGCCTACATTGTTTACAACTTCATGTTCAAATTTGGTGTTTTTTTCTAGTTTTTTTTGTTATATTTGGTTGATTAATTTGATTATGTTGAATTTTTTTATATAATTCAAATTTGAACTGCAAGTGCATGGAATATTGTAATCTAGTGCTTCGAAAAATGTTATTCATGGTATTTGGTGTATGTTGAGTCTCTATCCACGAACTCGCATCAAATTTCGCGCATCTTCTTCACGTAACATGACGAACCACTTGCCGGAAAAGTGTTTTAAAATTATATAAAGTCCATACAAAGTCCGAAAATCACGAAACTTGTCGAGGTGTCATGTTATTGCATGTGTAGGTTGTGGTAAAAAATTGAAAATGTTTTGAGGAAGTTGCGACGTCAGATGCATAAAACCCAGACATCTCCACATGTGATCACATGTGAGCCCCGCGGGGAGGTGCTGCCGAAATTCTGTCTCGGATAGGGAGCGGAGCATAGAAACTAACCTCATCTACGCATCCGCGGGTGGGATTAGGACCTATCCTCACCTATTAGAGAGTAGGAACACCGCGTAGATACAATTGATGGTTACATTACTATGTGCTGTATATGTGGAAGGATGAAAGACCGTCAGTGGATGTACACGGGCCGGAGAAGCAGGAGTGACTTTGACATTGAGTGGGTGAATGGGATAGATGCTTTCTTGGAACATGCATGGAGCTCGGGTGTAGCTAAAGGACATTCTAAACTTTGGTGTCCCTGTAGCAAATGTGACAACAACAGAAGGGTAGACAAGGTGACCATGGGTAAACATCTTGTGTACAATGGTTATATGGCTGGCTACCACCGGTGGATCCACCATGGTGAAGCAGATCGTATAAGAGCGGAGGTGGTGAGACCACGCCTCGAGGATTTTGATGATGATGCCAGAGTAGCAAACATGCTAGATGACACTCACCAAGCTCACTTTGCAGAAGAACGTGAGAAGGAGGAGATGGAGGAAGCCGCTAAGGCCTTCTACGAAATGTTGGACTCGGCACAGAAACCCCTTCATGAGAGTACAACGGTTTCTCAGCTGGATGCCATTGGACGTGTTATGGGGTTCAAGGCCGAGTTAAATCTGAGTGTCGCAAAGGCTTTGATAAGATGTTGGTCGTGTTTGGCAAAGATGCTACCGGAGAAGCACATTCGTCAAGAACTTGCACGAGTCACGAAGCTACTTACCATTATGCTTAAGATGCCATATGACAAGATACATGTTTGTCCGAAGGGTGCATCTTATTTA